CGGCTCCCAGCGAGCCGTGCACCTGCCTTCCCCAGACAGCCCGCTCGGGCAGCGCCCGCCTCTTCGGATGTGTAATTGTTGGACCGAGAGCAAGGGCGCTGCGGATGCGTTTAGCTCGCTCGCTCGCAACGGGCTTTGCTAAATGGTTTTCTTTTTGCTGTGAGCTCCCCGTTTGCCCTGTCAGTGTTCTGTCGCCTTGCAGGTTTAGGCTCGGGTTTTGAATGGCTTGCGAGCCGTGTGGGGAGCTGTACAGGGTGTAACTGGTATTTTTGTGCGAAGGAAGAGCAATCAAATAATACTCGTGCAGCAGTGCAAAGTAAAATTCAGGAGTTTTTGAAGCGCGGTGTTGAAGCTGACACAATGCAGAAAACATTTCTGCTGTTTGTGGAGCCTTACATCACCCAACAAAATGAGAGTCATGACAGTGCTGGATGTGAGCTGCTGCTGCAGTGTTTGTTCTGCTAAAAAAACCCACCAAAAACGAACAAAGAAAAATACCACCCCCCATCCCAACCAAAAACTATACTCCTCTCCTATCTTCAGTTCCCCCATTGTCCGTGTTCTCCTCCTCCCCCAAATAAGCCAAATCCACGATAAGGTAGTGGAAAACTGCTTGAGTAGTACAATTGTGCGCCTAATTGTATAAAACTGCTATCCAGAATCACAGCTGAAGATGCTGAGATCTGCAACAAGAGAGTACAGAATTTACACCTTCTTTATATCTTCAGTCCTGCAAGGATTGCTAAATTGATGGTGTGTTCAGGTTGAGTATAGTATTTTTATTCTTACAGGGGCAGGCAGACTTCTTTATCTAGCAATGTGGGCTCTCGTCTTTTCTAGTGAGTGTTAATTTTTGCTGCTTAAATTATTCCTTTGATCTCATTTTACAGGCTTCTGGAGTAACAGTGAATGATGAAGTCATAAAGGTTTTTAATGACATGAAAGTAAGGAAATCTTCAACTCCAGAAGAGATTAAAAAAAGAAAGAAAGCCGTTCTCTTCTGCTTAAGTGATGACAAAAAACAAATAATTGTAGAGGAGTCAAAGCAGATATTGGTTGGTGACATTGGAGATACTGTGGAGGACCCCTATACAGCCTTTGTGAAGTTGCTACCGTTGAATGATTGCCGATACGCTTTGTATGATGCCACATATGAGACAAAGGAATCTAAGAAAGAAGACCTGGTATTTATATTCTGGTGTGTGAAAGCAAAGCTTGCTGTTAAAATTGAAAATTCTGGAGTTAACACTGGATGACTGAATAACTGTTTTGTTGTGGTTTTCTTCTTTCCTTTGAAGGGCTCCTGAAAGTGCACCTTTAAAAAGCAAGATGATCTACGCAAGCTCTAAAGATGCCATTAAAAAGAAATTTACAGGTACAGACCTAAAAATGTTTCACTCATTAATTGCAATGCTGTTTAGATGTTGAGTTTCTCACAAGTACGTTGTTGTCCGTCTGTCTTTCAGGTATTAAACATGAGTGGCAAGTAAATGGTTTGGATGATATTAAGGACCGTTCAACACTTGGAGAGAAATTGGGAGGCAACGTGGTAGTTTCACTTGAAGGAAAACCCTTATAAAGAGACAGACAAGTGCCATCTGGATCTAAGGAGCTTCCATTTTTGCAGCTCGTTCGTTCAATTGGAATAGTATTAGTCTCCCCGTCCCCTTCCCTCCTCAAAAAATAAGTCCCTTCCCTAATGCCCCTGAAGGAGATGTCATTGTTAAGCAGCCTACCAGTGATTGCCATTAGACTGTTTAATCCTGGTAGTTTTATGTAGGATCCAAGGAATGCTTTCACGTCATACTCTTAGCCAAAACTGACGTTGCAGGCATTCCTTGCAACATGTACAATGAATGTGATAGTTAATGTGAATAGTCTAGCAGACAGCAAAGGGTAAGCTAATTGAATGCCTTGAAAGTATTGTCCACTGGTCGGGTGGTAGACTCTATACAGTATTACTTACAGTTGCACTTGATTGCAGTTCCATGAGGCTCTTGTGCATTCATACACCTCACCTGCCTTGACAAG